ATAAACAACCTAGATAGTGCATAATGTTGATTTCCAAAATTTGTTTGGACACTATGGCAATATGAGTAATTAAACCATCCTATTAATTGTGAATGAAAGAACTGAATTGCTGTATAGAAAATAAAGTCTACTGTGAATCAAAGTCCAACCTAATGGGAAATGTTTCAAATATTGACTTTGTGTTATGGTCAACTTTAGATTGTTAAACGGAAAATTCTGCGTGAACTTGATGTCTTGAGATGCTGATACCTCAGTCACTAATGACTACAGAAAGGTTTGATATTGTTTGGCAGTTTGATAGAAAATTCTGACCCAGATATTTTGCTACTGTAGTTGCATTTATCATACATGTATCATATTATATTACTCCATAACAACATACATGTAGCTTTATTAAGCGCCCATCAATAATTTATTTTTTTTTGGTAAAAATACACCAAACTTATAGCAGTCCAGTTAAATATTCTGGAATAATATAATAAACGTCTCTCATACTATAGTGTCTTTAAGGAAATAAAATGTACTACCGGTAGCTTATGAGTTTGTCGTTTTAGTTGTCCAGGTGCTGTTTTATTACTATTCAAATTACCATGTGGCAAGACGTATTTACATACTGGTGATTTTCGGGCTAACAGTGCCATGGAAAGATACCCTCAGCTTCAGAAGACTCACATTCATGAGCTTTATCTTGATACAACGTAAGTTTTTCTGATTGAACATTTTTTTGTTTCAGTGAAAGTGTTTCATGTGATTGCCGTTGGACCAATAAGATTTGATGGCTTTGAGATATTGGAGAATTCAGATGTTATTGAGTCACATGTTAAAATAGCATTGTAATTTATTCTGCAGAAATTGCTAGGCTATTATAAAAACACCAAAACACTGTCTCTTTAGTAAATCAGATTGCCTTTTGTTTTAACTAATTCAACCATTATTTCCAGGTTTTACAAATTTCTTCATCAGTTGCAACTATCTTTCTTGCTGCAAAATGCATTGTGACACTCCATGAATGGAGGCATATTTCTACCGTTGTGTCTTCTAAAATATACTAGTGCTACTCTGGGTATGTTTTGAGTGTATTCTTCAAGAAATGAAAACAACATGTTTGACTTTTTGACATTTCTTTCTTTTCTTTTTGTATCATTATTACTTGTTGTTTATATTTCATTTTTGATAGAAACACTATAAATATTGTAAAGATGCACTAAAATTATTATTATTATTATTATTTTAGGTACTGTGATCCTGCATACGACTTTCCACCACAGTCAGATGTTATAAAGTTTGCTGTTTCCACAGCTGTCCAAGCAGTCTTTGATAATCCAAAGACACTCATTGTATGTGGAACATACTCTATTGGAAAGGAAAGAATATTCCTTGGTAAGTTAATCTGATTATTATAATTTTTTTGTAAGTAAATCAACATTAGCCATACCTAAAACCTGTCAGTTAGACTGGCCAGTGTCAAATTCATTAACAGATGCAAACTGGGGGAACTTTTAACATTTAAGATATTTGGGGGTTGGTTCCTGGCTGATACACAGGTTGCCTTTTGTCAACAAATGTTGTTCTGTTGATCATATTGTGTTGCGTGACAGAATGATTGAAATAAACAAGTTGTTGTTGATTGTTGATGCAGGTTGTTAATGGAATTCTGTCAACTTGCAACTTTGCATGATACACAAATCATCATTTATTGTCAAAAAAAGTTGCATGTTGATCCGCGTTTAGAGGAGTCTGAGAGACAAGTTTCAGTGGCTACAATGTTACCAGTATTGTCAACCTTTTTAAGTTCACAGCTGCCTGTGACCCCATGGTAGCATGACTCAAGATAACATGGATTATTAATATGTGTATCACCTGTGCATAGAGGATATATAATGGGTAACCCATAATATCCTATTTATTAAACAAGTGTAATTTTTTATGAAAATTACAACACAAGTAATTTTATGATATTTTGGGTGATGAATTTTGATATTCTGATTATCACATGTACGGTATGCTTCTATTTCGTCAACAGAAACTATAAAATCAGAATCACTGTTTGTATTATGCAAGTTAAAATTAGTTGGATGTACAAATGTACTTTGTGGCTAGTTTATCGCCTGCTATTAAACAGTCAAATTATTTATTTTTAAGACCCATCAAGTGTATTTATGTTATTTATCAATCAAGTGTACTGGGTAATATGTATTTATGCTGATGTGTTTCAGCAACCTTTTCACTCAATTATGGGCTAGTTCTATCAGCGGTCTTCATACATCTCAACTGTAAATTTGCAAGCAGTACATGTAGTGGTGATACAGTGGAGAAATGAATCCTGTTCATTAGAAACAGCAAAATCTACAACTTCAAGAACAAGAACATTTTGGTGAAGTTCTAAAACTATCGATATAAAGCAAAAATATTTTCTAATCATGTTTCGAAGAATCATAAAAATAAATTAACTGGTCTCTGATTATTTTAAAGCGAGAGGGTCGTCGCCTGCATAGTGCGGGAATTGATTCCCAAGCAACGATTATAACACATGCTAAAAACGCAAAGACTCATGGTTAGACACTTGTTTGTGAACACTATGACACACTATGGCCATCTGACGCATACACAAGTGACAACACCCCCACTTTAAGAGGTGACCAGTTGGTGACATCACAATCTCAATATATATGCAAGACCCAATCAATCAAGTACTGTAGAATACTTTATTTTCGCTTGGAATTTATTTTCGCTATTTTCGCTGAAGGGATGATTTCGTGAAAATAAAATCCAGCGAATATACTTTTTTCCCTATATTTCACATTAAACTCATGAAAAATCAGTGAAAATAAATTCCAAGCAAAACGCCCAAAAAGCCTTTTCAGCGAAAATTAATTCCAGCGAAAATAAAAGTATTCCACAGTATATTATTACTGTTACATGGCTGATACTGCTTGGTACATGTGATATATA